AAATTTCAATATCGAAAATGGTAGGCTTGACAACCGATGGCGCTCCAGCTATGGTGGGTTGTGATAAGGGTCTGGTGGCGTTATGTCGTAAAAATGAAACTTTTCCGCAATTTCTCTGTTACCACTGCATTATCCATCAGAAAGCATTATGTGGAAATTTTCTGAAACTAAACAACGTTATGAAACTGGTGGTAAAAATTGTGAACAAGATTAGAGCTTAAGCGTTACAAAGAAGATTATTCAAAACCTTGGCCGATGAAGTTGACTGTCAATACGGGGACCTACTCCTTCACTCTGAAGTCCGATGGTTAAGTAGAGGACGGGTGCTGAAACGTTTTAATGATGTCCTATCTGGCATAGTTCAATTTTTCAAACAACACGATGAACCGACTCCGGAACTAGAAAATTCAATCTGGCTTAGAGATTTTGGTTTTCTCGTGGACATTACAGAGAAATTAAACGAACTTAATTTGCAGCTTCAGGGAAGAGACAAAGAACTAGCGGAAATGATTTTTGATATAAAAGCATTTATCAAAAAGCTGGAGTTTTGGGAACAAAACCTAATTAACAGCGATGCCAAGCATTTTCCTATTCCTTCAGAAAAAATATCTCAAAATCCATTAGAATCCTATGACAGCAAATATCATGTAGAAATAGTTTCTACCCTGAAGAATAACTTCAAAAATCGTTTTAAGGATTTCAACGAAATGGCTTTAGTAGCACAGTTTGTTGTTTCACTCTTTATGGAAATTGATATCCAACAGTTTGCAACTTGTGTTATGCAGAACTTTGGAGAAGACATCGCTGCAACAGAAATGGAAGTAATTGAGTTTCAAAATAATTTTTCCTTAAAATCGTTAGTCTCAAGTACCAAATGTATCTGGCCTATTGTAAGTAAAGACAAATATTCAGTTCTATACCGTGTTGCCTTGAAAGTGAAAGCATTATTTCAGTTCAATATATTTGTGTGAATCTTCTTTTTCCAATATGAAGTTTATTAAGAACAAATATCGCAATCGACTTGTAGATGAACATTTGGATAATTGTATTCGAATGGCTGTATCAAATTATACTGCAAACATTAAAAAAATTATCGATGAGTCTGAGTGTCAGCCTTCTCATTGAACGTGCTTTTTTATTTTTCAATGTTTATGTTCATGATAGTGCGTTACTTTTTTGTTGTTATTATTAACTATTTTTAAATCTTACGTGACATGCCGTTGTGGCTGGATTAAAGTTTGTGTTTATTTTTCAAACACCTTCGTTTGGTAGGGAGGAATGTAGCTATGAACAAGTACGTACTAGTAATATTAGTTTATTTTGTTATTAGTTTATTATTAGTACCTATGTATTATGTATTACCAGTTAAATAGTGAAATAAATACATATAATGATAAATTAACTGTGGATTATTTCATTTACGTTGAGTTACGTGGCTTCCGTGTGGGTAGCTAGCTGTTTATTCCAAAATTAACAAAGTAGCTCAACACATTGAGAGGTTGGCGACCACTGATCTAGAGGATAACACAATCGTGAACTAAAAATTTAAAATTTAAATTCAGGATCCTTTGATATACATAAAACTAACTGACATTTATATTTACAAACTGTCCACTGCTGTCCACGTCTACTGTCTATCTCAGAATTGCCAACCGTACAATTTAAATCGTATTTATACGATTTTTTAACTCTCTGTACGATGTACGATTGCATCAGTGAGATGGTACGTAAAAATACGATCTTCCCTTTTTTAGTAGGTTTATTTAAATATCTGCAACAACTTCAAAACATAAAACAATAAAAATCAAAAACTACTTGCAAAGATTCATAGCCTGTTCGTAATTTTTGAAGGCAGTCATTTTCGTTTTCATTTTTCGTGATTTTGACCATGGGGATTTTGTACTATCATGGCATAAAAAAAGCTTGCATATAAAATTTTAATCACTCTCAAGTCATTGATTACTTTAAATGTGTTAATTTAAAGTTTCATGTATTTTCTTTAGTTTTTTTTTTCGTTGTAAACATTTTTATAAATAGATAAATAAATTATCATGCCAAAGTTTTTTTTTATTTTTTAATTCCATTTAAGTTATATTATGCTATACATGTACCTATTGTACGATTTGTCGAAATACCATTTTTTTACTCTACTTGTACAATCTCACAAAAAAAATATTTGACAACACTGGTCTGTCTACAAACGACGTATACCTTTAGTTAACATCTGAGACGCATAAATGACGCCATCGTTGCTGCGGTCGCTGCGTTTCCTATCTTTATCTTCCTAATCTCTGCTTCTTACTACATTGGTAGTCGTGACGTTTCTCCTACGTTTCGTTTGGTTCGAAAAGGTAATATATCCTGGATCAGAGATATTTCCTGGATATGTTACTTTTTCAAAACAAACAAACGATCCGCATTGTGCCATATGTTATTAGCGGATGTAAACCACATACAGAAAATCAAAGTATGTGATGTAAACTGTAAACTGTTGTTTTCGTACTCATTTTATCACGATGTCTGAGACCGATAGCAGTACAGAAAGTGTTGACAACGTTATCAAAAGTAAGAGAAAGAAAGGTGTTAGAAATCTAGAGTTGTATAAGGCTAATATTATTAAAAAGGCAAAAATCATAGGTTTACCCCTCAAAAACTACGCCGGTAAGAACTTGAAAACAAAGCACAGTACCTGAAATATTTATTCTATTTTTAGTTGCCGCCTAAATGTTATGAAATGTTCTCCGAACAAAAAAAGCAGGAAATGTTAGCTAATGTCAATAGTTTTAACAACAAAAATACACAGGATGTCTATATTCAAAGTCTGATTGAAGTTGGCAATGTTCAAGATATTAGAAAACGAGGTGAAGAACCCAAGAAGCCAAAAACCCATACTTTTAAGTATCATATAAAACTGAACGAAAAAAGAACAAGCTTTTATGGGACTACATGGACTAACTCATAAAAGAGTATGACGTTTAAATACCTTGCAAGATCAAGGAGCAACTCCTCAAGAGAAAAGGGGTAAGTCGGAAGGATCTAGACATAATGCAATACCTGGAGAAATTTGCTCCACAATCATGATTTTATAGAAAGTTTCGATGTAAAGGAAATACACCATTCGAACAACATATTTAAAAAATATCTTCTTGCCACTGTTAACGTCAAAATGATGAGAACAATTTCCTGAACTTAAAACCAAAATAAAATATGACTTTATCAATTTTTTAATTTAAATTTCGATTTATCGTTTGGTAGACCTCAAATAGATGTTTGTTTAAAATGTGAGGAACTGAAAGTTAAACTTAGGGACCCACATTTAAATGATAATGCAAAACGGGTAGCAACAGCTGAGTTGATAATACACAAAAAAAGGGCTAATAATTTTTTTAAGAAAGCCGAGGAAATAAAAAACTGGCCACTGAGAACGATACCATTTTAGGGATATCTGATAGATTATATGCCAAACTTACCTCTCCCACATATAACAGTATAAGAAGTGTTCTACTTACGACAACTCTGCATACATGAATTTTGTGTACAAAGTCTGAAAACTGAAAAAGCTGTATTTTATTCCTATCAAGAAGGACAAGCTAATAAGGGACCAAATGAGGTATGCACGTTTTTGAAACATTATATAGATCATTATATACCTCCGACTATAAAAGAGCTGTATATATTCTCTGATGGATGCCCAGGACAAAATCGAAACCATACAGTCGCCCGAATCTTTATGGCGTTAGCAGCTTCTGGCCGTTTCACAAAGATTCAGCATATTTTCCCTATCAGAGGACATTCTTTTAATGCATGCGACCGCGACTTTGGTATTGTCAAGAGAAAAATACGAAGACAAGACAGAATTTATACACATGATGAGTATGTTCAGCTAATACTAGAATCATCGAAAAATAATAAATTTACAGTTGTCAAGGTCAACACTGAAGATATTATTGATTTTAAGAGATAGTGGCCGAATTTTTATAAAAAGACTACTCTGTCACAACGAAGTTATTTTAAAAATGTACCAAAGGAAGACAAAGTATCGTTAAAAATAACCGATTATTTCCATTTTGAATACCATTTTTTCGATCCTGGAGTTCTTCTTCTTCTTCGGCAATATTTTGACAATAGCAATATTGTTGAAAAATTTTCCCTTGCAAAACCAAGACACCTTTATCCAGAGTTGCCTACAGTAATAACCTATAAAGCCTATGCTGATAAGCTTCGTATTAATCGAAAGAAAATGGATAATATTAGGAACCTTCTGCAGTACATACCCGATGACAAAATAGAATTTTACAACAAAGTAGTTGAGTGGCCAGTAACAGAATCAGAGAGGAACGTCATGAACAAGATTTTTTAAATTTAAAATTATATGTATACGATTAAATTTTGGCACTAATATGTTATCCATATTATATAATAAACCGATTATAAACAAATTTAGAGTATTTTTACCCGTTTATTTCGAAAAGGAAACATGTCCGAAAAACAAAAACTAAAATAAAAAATTGAAGCAGTGATAATTAAAGTTTGTAAACTTATGAAAATATCAGTAATACAAAGTACTAAAAGATCATCAACATTTTACTGATAAAAGTTTAACGTGGATTCGCTAAATTAGTTTTCTGTTCCTCCTGTAAAATTGGACTTTTTGGACATGTTCCGTCTTCCAAATAATCGATTCAATTAATAAAAATGTTAGGTTATAACCATGGGTGAACGATTATCAAAATAACTAGGTAATCAATTATCGATTATTTAAAATAATCGGTTATTTTTTGATTATACATCACTAGCGTACAGCTAGTTAATCAATAGTTGTAATGTTTGAAAACAGTATGATATTGCTAATAATAAGTACACTTAATACAAATCCAAATCAAAAAACAGCAATATTGACGCTTTGTACAAAGTTTTGAACAGTACTTACAAATTATAAAAAAAAATGGTTACAGTATTACAATATTGTATATTGATAAAAAATTATAAATTAAACTTACCCTATCGTATATTTTTTTCTTTAAAAACATTTTGGCTACAGCTAGTATCGTATTGATATAGGGTGGATAATTAATTATGTGAATTCCTTTCAGTCGATTTTTTAAAAGTGCCTAAAATTAAAACATTATTTTGCTACGTATCCTCACGAAATTAATCATTTCAAACGAAAATAGCAAAAAGTTGACTCAACCTTTTTGTATGCAATCTCAGATAAACAAAAGAAATACATTGGTAGTAGTCAGAGTTTGTAAGAAACAAAGATTGTTTCTTGATATGTTTCGTCCATTTTAAATCTCAGCAGAAAATTTAGTCAAAACTATTAATAGGCAATTTAATATTGTTAGTTTTGTCTGTTAATTTCTTGAATATTTATATTTGAAGTTTCTGGAATTTCTGGTGTGTAAATAAATTTTATAAGTTTTTTTTATCATAAGGGTCTCTTATTAATATTAAAATCTAATGAAAAGTTGACCAAGGGTGCATTCTTAAAAATTGAAGTTCTACTCAATACTCAATCATTTATTTTATTAAAGTTAATAAAGTTAACACTAGAAAATTTTAGAAATAATGCGTTTTTCATAAAGACCGCCAAGAAAATGAATTTGAAGCTAGAAGACATTCCTATTTTATTTAATCCTCAACCTGGTCTGTTTTCAGAAGAAGTTTTAATAATTGTTCATACAGTGAATTGAATTAAAAACGTACCCTCCTTGATAAAGTAAATAAATCTTAGTGCTCACTGTAAAGAAAACATTTTCTTATTGAGAGAAGTAAAAAATCGTTTGGATTCTAATGGAAAAATACTTTATACGCCACTGGAGAATCAAACTATCAAATATTTCTTTATTTTGCCTTCAAACAAAGTTTATGTTAAAGTTGCCCTGTACCTATTTTCAATCTACTTTTACTATATCCATGCTATTATTTAACAAAAAAGACTCAGAAATATTTATTAAATCTACTGGATGACTCAAAGAAGAAAAAGTAACAAAAATTAACCTAATATTGGAGATAAAGTAATTATAGGTTATTTAGAATCCTCTATTAGTCCCCTATTTAAAGTTAACTTATGGACTTTTCAACTGTTAACCTGTATAGTTAAGTTTAAAAATAATTTTAATCGCTTACCTCCAATAAAAGCGTACACTTTTTAAAGAAAGACGGAGTAAATTTAACCACATGTCCCATCGCCAAATGTTCAGCATCACAAACAAGAACTTCTCCCATTCCTAGATCTTCTTGCAATCTGATTTCTAATATAGCACTTACATAGGCTGCTAGTTTGTAAGGATCAAATATTTCTATACCTTCTCTATGAAATTTTAACATTGTTATTCTAGATAAATTCTCATCTAAATTTGGTAGCGTTGCTATGTAACTAAAGAAAAAACGAAAAGCTTTACACAAAATGTAAAAATCGCTTTTAAAATAAATGCTGGAAATTAGTCGGGTAAGATGACGAACGCGCTAAGATGACGAATTGCGAATGTCTGCTACTAAAAAAAGAGATGTCGCGACATATGTATCCCCTTATGCTCTATTGGTTGTAAACTTTCTGTATATAAATGCGTAGCATCGTGGAAGAACGCTTAGTGAGTTGTGACCATTTATACTGTTTGGGTGGTTCTTCTTATAATTTTGGCTCGGGGCAAAATAAGCTCTAATTTTCGCAAGGTACGTTATTAATTTATTTTAATTTTATTTTTTGGTAGTAGAAATCATTATTTATGGTAGGAGATGATGAATTACTAATAAGATTTTGTTAAAATTTAATTATAGATTTTGAAAATTTTATGTGCTTGTGTCTCTAAGATGACGAACCGTTGTTGTTGCTAAGATAACGAATTCGCCAACTTAGCTGCATGGCTAATAATTAAAAAACATGTTTATATTTTAGTATGGGGAAATATATAAGAAAAACAAATAGACAGTTATGGAGTAAGGAGAACATGAGACCAGCATTAAGAGAAGTTATTAATACCGGTTCAAGCGTAAATGGAGCATCTAAAACCTATTCAGCTCCTGAGGCAACTCTTCGACGTTATGTAAGAAAACATAGCAATGAGGTCGTAGTCTTCTATATCTTACAATCTTACCTATATGAAAAGGAAGTTTACATTTTTGGAAAATATAAATTCACTCTTTTTTTTCCAGAATTTTCCACAAAATGCTGGTCGCTTTAAGCCAACTTTTATTGATAACACCGGCACACAAAAAAAAAGTTGTTTGTACATCAGACACTACCTACTGGCAAGAAAAAAGCTGGTAGAGCATTTTATGAAAAATTTATAAAAGGTTTTAGATTTTCCTTGAGAACTCCAGAATCAACCTCAATTGCTTGCATGATGGGTTTTAACAAAGAAAACGTTTTTTACAGTCTATAAAGAATTAAAATTAAAACACTATTTTGCAGCTAATCGCTTTTAGAATTATGATGAAACTGGAATTTCAACAGTTCCTACAAAAAATCCTAAAGTTTTAACACCAACAGGAAACAGAAGAGTCATTAAAATTTCATCGGCAGAACGAGGAACTAACGTCACAGCTTAATGTTGTATTAGTGTTGTTGGTACGTATATTTCTCCGTTTTTAATATTCCCAAGGGTAATAATGCAACCTTCTTACTTAAATGGACTTCCACCAGGTTCCATTGGAGTAGCCCATCAGAGCGGTTGGATGATGACTGAAAATTTTACAAAATTTTTTGAACATTTCAATAACTTTGTGAAACCGAAGGAAGATGACATAACATTACTTGATTTCCCATCTCATACAAGCCACAAAATGCGACCGTTAGATGTGTCTTTTTATGGATCTCTCAAAACAGCTTACAGTATTGTATGTGATGATTTTTTAACCAACAATCCATGGAAGGCAATTACTTTACACGATATTGTTTTTTTATTTGGAAAGGCTTATCTAAAAGCAGCAACAGTAGCAAATACTGTGAATGGATTTAAAGCAACGGGTATAGAACCGTTCGATTCAGAAATTTTCTCTGAATTGGACTTTGCACCTTCTAAAGCTACTGACACCTATCCTGATGCTACAACTTCCAATAAATTCCACCCTTGTCCAGTCAGCCAACAGCTGATATCAATAGCGATGAAGAGATTCAAGAAACAATGCAAACTTCGCCATCTACTGAAATCGTCGAAAAAATGAAAGAGTACTCTAATCTGTATGAAGCCTATTTTTCTTCTTGTACGATATCAAACAAACAATTTTATTTAACACGACTTCCCCCATTTCCTGTTGCAGGAGTCAGAACTAAACGCAAAAGAACTTAACTACCATCCCTCATTATTTCAAGCACGCCAGTAAAAATTGTTTTGGAAACAAAGGAACAGGAAAAAGCAGGAGAAAGAGAAACAACAAAAACTTAGCACAGCAGCTAGGGAGGAAAAAAGGCCAAATAATTACTCAAGAAGAAGAAAATGGAATCAAGGAAACTGGTTAAGCGAAGAGTATTCAGTTCATCACATTCGTCAAATTCGTCAATTAAAGTAGACTTGGTAGACACTGATGATAATAATAACTCTTCTGAGAGTAACAAGATATCTGATAATAAGTTATGCGTCATATGTGATGACGAAGGAAAAGATCGGGAACTATGGTTTCAACGTGTGTAAAAAATGAGCCCATGCCACGTGCACTGATATGAATATTAAGCAAGCCAAAGACAAGAAGTGGTTGTGTGATTTTTGTAATCGATAACTGAATTAGACTTTGTTAAATATTTTTAAACGATTTTGTGTTTTGTTTATTTTATTATCATAGAACGTTTTTTTAATTTTTTCTAGATTGTTAGAGTTAGCTATTTGATTTTTCTTTTTTTTATTATAAGCATCTTTTTCGAAAATCACACGCGTATGAATAAGAATTTACTTTCCACCCGTGTGCGAATATGCTACTTTCCGCATCAGCTGTCACAAAATGTCAAACGCATCATTTCTATTTTGATCTATATAATGTCCATATTAATACTAAAATCGATATGATTGTTAAATTATTAAAATTGTTGTAAATTAGATCCTAGATATTTATCTTTAACAATTGTTATTAAAATAATTTTAAAATAACTAAGTTATGTTTGCTTTTTATTCTGGTTAAACACATAACCGATTAGATCAATTAATTGACGCAAGACCTAATAGATCAGGTGGTAGAGTATCAAAATTTATCAATTTCGCCATTTGAAACGTGGCGAGCGACCGCGTTTAAATCCTTATTAGGGCAGACATTTTTTTTGGTTTTTTTTTATTTTTTTTTTTTGGTTCTATAATTTTTTTTGTTTAGAAAATATGAAAATTGAATAAATACAATTATTACTGATTGTCTTTTTAAAATTTATTTTATTTATTATAATATAAACCTCGTTTTACATTTCCACATCAGCTGCCCCATAATGTCAAACGCATCATTTCTATTTTGATTTATTTAATGTCCTTATTAACAGTAAAATCGATATAATGATTAAATTATTAAAATTAAAGATTAACTTAGATCCTAGATATTTATTTTTAACAATTATTAAAATAATTTTAAAATAACTACATACATCTCATTATTTTGGCTTTTTATTCTGTTTAAACTTAAAATCGAATTAAAAATGCATTTGACATAAGACCCATTAGCTCAGTTTGTAGGGCAGTTGCAATTTGAACTTTGGCTTACACGACGGGTCCGCGGGCCCACGTTCAAAACTTAGTGGTTGCAGAATTGTTTTTTTTTTTTTGTTTTTTTTTTTTTGTTTTTTTTTTGTTTTTTTTTTTGTTTTTTTTTGTTTTTTTTTGTTTTTTTTTGATAATTGAATAAATACAATTATTGTTAATTATTTTTTTAAATACATTTTAATAATTATAATAATAATAATAACCTGGTTTTACATTTTTTGATGAAATTATTTTGTGGTCGTAGGAAAAATATTGTACATCACTTGTGTGAAAAGTGATTTTTCACACTCGTGTGATAGTCGTACTTGGCTTGTGCCTCGTGCGACAATATTTCACACTCGTGTGAAAAATGTCACTTTCCACACTATTACTAGTTACTGTCAGTAACTGTTGTTTTTATTTGATTTTTCCAAGATTAACTAGTAAAAGTATAAAAATTCCGTTTGTGATAACATTTACTGATGGATTAAGTAATAATAATAATAATAATAATAATAATAGTCTCTATTTGTTTCTATATCCATAATAACAAAAATACAGTAATTTAACAATTAATTGAGATAGGGTGTAAGAAAAAGAAAAACTAACAGATCCGAATATTTCTAATAATATAATCCGCGAAATCCACGGACAAAACACTAGTTATGAATTTAATTAAACCTTTTTGGCCATAAACATATAAATGTATAAAAATTGTAATAAATACCTACCCCATCTTGGAAACAACCTCTACAAGATTATGTTTTAAAGGGTGAATAAAAAATTCTGGAAGCATTTGGTGCATTGAATAATACATCTCCAAATTTTGTTTGGAACTTTCAATACTGTATTTACAAACAGTTAAAACATATTCTATCATGTTGTCTTCTGAAAATAGAAATATGAATTAGTAGGAATTATGCAAAGTAATATGGATTGAGCGTGAATGAAAGGGTATTTTATTGGACAAAGAAAATATTTAAACCCTAAATAGAGGTGCCCCAGGGGATCACAAAAAACTTATATATTATTTTTTAAATTAGGCCCTTTTTTCCGTGCTCCATAATTTTTGAATCACTTAGTATATTTTTTTGTTATTTAACATAGATAATCTACACCTACAGGAGAATTTATCAACACATTGAAAAATTTCAAACTCCAGGTCCGGCTTAACAAAAATTATTTAAATTTGACCCACCCTATAACAACACCCTATACATCAATAAAAATTACAATTACAGATATGTATTTAAGAAAATTTAAATGACTCTTATTCATTTAATAATTATTCATTAATTATTTAATTTTTTAGATTTTTATATGAAAAATTGTTAAAAACAATAAAAATTAATTATTGATGTTATGACTTGGTACTAGCTACAACTATGTATTGTTAATAAAATTGTAATTCTATTACTAAAATACATCCACTTGAAGGTACTGAAGCTGAAATGTAGGCTATGAAATTATGATATCTAGTTTGTTTGTGTTATTTCTAATGTCATTATTTGGTTTTTGTCAATTAGTGTACGATCTTTTTGAATTGCATTAGTTTATTTCGTGTTGTCCAAAGATTTAAAAAATGCCTCACCAATATTCTAATCGAGAATACTGCGACATCAAATTTGTAAAAATTAAATATTAAATTTGGAAAGAGCATAAAAAACTGAATATATACATCAATTTTTTATTTTCCCGCATGCAGAATTACTACCAAAATTTTAACGTCAAAATGTACATTGTGAGAATTTTAGTCTATGCAAAATCTAGTTAAAGGGTTTTAATTAATCATTATTTTTATTGTCATTACATAAAAATTTGTTTGATACACACTATATTGACTCATGTATTATCCAGATGTGCCTGAACATAACTTTTTGTAAACAATCTTGAGTTGAATAATTTTTGTTTAAAACTTTTTGTAATAAACGTATATTATTATAACGTATAAACCATAATAAAACTACTAATTTATTTGCGGATCATCGTATATATTCATCAACAAAAAGTGAAAAATAATACCACACTCGACTTTAACACAAAAGTCAGTCCATCTTTTCCAATAGATAATAGAATCGCCAAATACAGGGTGTCCCGAAATTAGACAGTCATATTTTAACAGCCTAATCTACATCCTAAAATAGAAGTAAAAGTTCATATAAACATAGGTCCGAAAACGTTACGTTTTCGAGATACAGGGTGTTACAAGTGAAGTCCTAATGGCACGTTTTTGTAAATATTTTCTAAAATTTCTTTAGTCACCGGTTTTCCAAAATTAAAAAAAAAATAAAATTTCTGAGTCCACAGGCCTACTAATTATTGTACACACTTTCTGTCTTAGGACAATTTAACCCAATACCCCTCCTTAATTTACCCACCTATGAAGATGATCAAAAACTGGCGTTTAGTCCATTACATAGAGCGTAAAAAGTTTAGCATTTGTATACAAAATTTCACTTAGTTATCTTTTAAAGTTTAGAAAATATTTACAAAAATGTGTCATCAGGACTTCACTTTTAACACCCTGTATCTCGAAAACAAAACATTTTCGGGCCTATGTTTATATAAACTTATACTCCTATTTTAGGATGTAGATTACGCTGTTAAAACATCGTCTAATTTCGGGACACCCTGTTGTTCAAGATGGTAATGAGATGAATATTTATAATAAAAAATGTTACATTTACCTGGAAGTTCTGGAAGGTGTTTCTGCATTTTTATCCATTCTTTTATAATTGCAATATACTCTTCTACATCACTCGGCGTTTTCCCCCATTTCTTTCTAATTTTATCCCTATCAGATAAAAGTAAACGTTTCGTTTCCATACTTAACTAACAATGTACCGTTAATTCAGAATCAGAACTAAGCTATAAAAATTTTTTGTGGAGAACAGCCTCGCAGATCAAGGTTGAGTAACCTCTTATTTATGTAAATACATATGGCACAAGTTTTTGTTTTTTTAATAAAATTAGAATAAATCTGATTTTACCAGTGCTGTATCATGTATCGCCAAATAAAACTTATCATCACGGGTCAAGTGAATAAAAATAAGTAAACGCCCTTTACTTAACATTTTTTAATTATTTACTACTTGTTGGTCATTGATCCTCACTTGCGTTTTTTTATGTAAGGTTGATTGGATCCAACTGGTTTTATGTATGTAGCTACAAAAACTTACAGATGATATAATTACCTACTATACAGGGTACTTGGGTGTTTATTAAATATACGGCAAAAATTCAAGGGGTTGTTCCCCGGACTATTCTAGGAATATTTTGTTCTTTGATAATTTTTTAATAGCCACTTTGTTTCGAGGATACAGAGCGAAAAATAATATAATAATATAACAAGCCCGATTTGGTGCTGTTGGACAATCAGAGTCATTCAATGTTTGTCATTGAGTTTTCTGCACCAGCTGAAACCTACATTCTTATTAAGGAGAGGGAAAAGCGTGCCAAATACATTCCATTGATTGGCGAGGTTCAAAGAATGTATCCAGAATATAATTTACTAATGGTAGACCTAATTGTGGGTGTTTTAGGTGGAATCAAGGACACTATGCTCAAGGAGCTACAAAAAATACCGGCTTGCCGAGACTCATCAAAACAACTTGTGGTGAAGATGCTTAAAGAAAGAGGTAGTTCTTGGGTCCCTTCATCTTTTGAGGCAATTAAATTTGGCCAAAGATCACTGACCGAGCGGATGTAAGGAGTGATCTTCTCAGCGACTAGGTCTTTCGCGTAATGTACTGGGTGTGTCGGAGCCCCAGCAACGTTGCGACGAATTTTTTTTACACATAATAATAAAAATAATCAACCAATAATCAGGTCAATAACAAAAAAGAAACATATACGACATATATTGATTACAGAAAAGCCTTCGAGTCGGTACCTCATATGTAGTTAATAAAAGTATTAAGAATATATAAGATACACCCAAAAATTATAAAATTTTTAGAAGATACAATGGAAAGATGGCAAACAATCCTAATTATAAATGCAGTAAATGCCTGTGTAACAACAAAACCGTTGCCAATCAAGAGAGGCATATTTCAAGGAGAGTCTCTCAGTTCCCTATGATTCTGCCTGGCAATTATTCCACTGTCAAAAATGCTAGATGCAGGAACAACATATGTCAAGGAAAAAGAGAAGTAATAAACTACGAAACAGAAGAAGGGAATATCATAACAGGAATGACTGAAAATAAAATGTACAAATACTTAGGAATGTATCAGTCGAGACTAACAGAAGACAAAAAAAATGAGAGAACAGTTTTGTGAAAAATATAAATATAAAAATATAAAGAAATATTAAAGAAAATTACAACAACCAAGATCAATAGAAAATATATTATTAAAGCGATAAATACATTTGCTGTACCAGCACTGACATATTCTTTTGGAGTGATTCATTGGACAGACACCGATATAGCAAATATAAAACGTTGTACAGCTAAAATGCCTACTAATGCCAAATTTCATCACCGAAAATCTGCTGTACCAAGAACCTAGGCAACTTGTTAAATACACCGAAATCAACTTAGAGAGTACTTCTATAGCAAAAAAAGTGTATGACAACTGCACTCGATCATTATTGCCGCAGATGAACATTATTCTTCACTTAACCTTGCACCCTGAAACTCAGGGGTTCCTCTATGCCATACAGGACCAAGTAATAAACACAAAAAATTACAGAAAACATATAATTAAAGATGGAACAGTTGATAATACATGTGGAAAATGTCATGCGGGAACAGAATATTTTCAGCACATTATCTCAGGATGTCAAGCTCTAGCGCAAGGAGAATACAAAAGATGTCATGACAATGTAGCAAAAATTTTACATTCCAAATTGGCAGTATTACATGGGCTAGCTGAGAAGGAGATACCATACTATAAATACCAACCAGAAAAGGTATTAGAGAATGAAAATGTTCGAATCTACTGGGACAGAGGAATACTAACGGATAAAACAATTCCCCATAACAGTATTACAATGATGGATAAACAGAATAGGTGTGCTTACCTAACTGATATCGCAATACTAGGCAAAATACATACCGAGAAAAAATTACCAAATATGCTATTAAAATTCAGCACATTTGGGAAGTTACTTAAGTACTTATAGTGCCAATTGTGTTGTCAGCCACGGCTATAATACCTAAAATACTTAAGAAGAGTCTGAAGGTTCTTAATGTAGAAGAACATTTGTATCCAAATATTCAAACGGGCAATAATCCTAGATACGTGCAACATTGTTAGGATATTTTACAACAACATTCCACAATAGCGACTTCCCTTACCTTGGCTTTTAGCCGGTAGGGAAATAATAATAATAATCTATAAAAACAGTTGAAAATGACTACTTCCAGCTAGGATGCAAGAATTCTGTAGTTTTAGGAAATAAAATTATGTTATTTTTGTATTTTTTATCACCTTGTATCATCGAAACAAAGCGGCTTTTCAAAAATCATAAAAAACCAAAATATTCTTAGAATTGTCCAAAGAATAACGCCTTGAATTTTTCTCCCGTTCTGTGATGCACTTGTAAGAATCTTAGATTCCATGTAGAAGTATCTAATTGACGTTGTAATTACATTTGATTAATCGGTAACTTATAACACCTTTTATGAAGGCTTTGATGATGGTTTTATAAGCCAAATGTGCTGATCCGAATTTTAAATAAAAAACATTAAATTTTTACACACTCATGTACTTATTACTTATTCCACTCTTCACCTAAGTCGATATTTACAATTATTTTTATAACTTGTTATGATAATCAATATATTTTAAAATTATGCGTTACTTTTTTTGCGTAATCTATATTTAATATATTAGTAGTGACCTTAAAATTAATATTTTTAATCAGTTATCTTCCAGTTGTTTACCTAAATATTAATGCTCGCTGTCCTACTTGTTTAATTGTGTTTTTAAGATTTAAAATGTAGCAAAACAATTAAACATTTTTATTTATTTACAAATAAATAATGAAGGTCTGGTCCAACACACGCCAAATCCATAATAATACAATACAAATCTCATAAGTATTACCATAAGATTATGCATTTCACGTGTGTTGGAAGAGAGAAGAGACCAATTAAATATAAATTATAATAAACTTTATTGGCATTTTTATGATAAATTTAACGATTTTATGGAAACTGTACCTACAACTAATTGTTTTAATGGTTCTATTGGCACTAGGAGTTATAAACAGGAATAGTGGAGACATATATTTTTTAATTCACTCATTAAAGAATATTCTCAATACAGAGTGGAAGAACTGCGTTAACATTTTAGACAAACCCGTCAATTTTGTATTAAAGGGTGACATCTTTCTAACCCCCGCCCCCCTGTTCCTCACTTACACTAACACAATTTAAATAAGGAGATTACTAAGTATGTATATTGTTACGCAGGTTTTTGGTATCACAATTTATTTCAACTGAACTTTAACAATAACAATGCAACTGATAACATTAACGTGTAATGTCTATCATAAAACTACAAACTGACGTCAGGATCATCCTTATATCCGAGAATAACGATCAAGGAGAAGCGACAGTAGCTGTCGGTGCCTTTGATATCGGATGTACCTTTTTCACAACATGACTTTGATTGATACACAACTTAGCACGCTGAGAAAACATGCATATTTTCTACATTGAGCGAAATAGTTTGGCAAATTATCTGAAATCATTGTTATAGTCCATGAGCAAATGTTGTAATGTGATTTAATTACATTGAAGTAGTTAGGGTTAATAGCAATGGTGAAATTTCGGCAACAAAATATGTAATAATTAATTATTTGTTATACAAGTAAAAGACGTTTATTATTTTATAATTTATCTATAAAATTTGTTCAATATTTGGTTTATTTATTGTTAAAAATGTAATAAAAGCCCCATTTTTAAATTAAATTAACTTTTTTAAGTAAAAATAAGGTAAATAAAATTAAGGGTACCATAAAAAATTTAGGTAACAATTAAAAAGACATTAAGTTTGAGAGATTTAACTAAATATTTGCAATGTGCTTATATTTTCAAAACTTTTAGGTTTAAAAAGTACTTACATATTTTTAGAATTTCTGGATTTATATTATATTATCGCTTTACGCTTTCAATTGCAAGACGAGCTCGACCAAGTAACCACTTGAAAACTTTTTACTAGATACAGTTATAATTGAATAAGATTTCAAACTTCCGCTGATAGAATGAAATGCAATAGATTCAAGTTGTCAATTTTTAATGACCAGTTATATTAAAAAAAGAAGTATATATTATAGATGAGTATTATCTGGTAGGCTTAATAAATAATGACCTAAGATGGACGTCCACTGGACGTCAAAATACTACTAAACTTAAAATTAAGTCCAAAAACAGACGTTCTCTGGGTATCGATATTCAGCTGTCAATTTAATTAGCATAAACGGACGTACACTGGATGCCCGGATATGGACGTCCTGACCCTCAAATAGATCTAAAGTGGACGTACATTGGACTATGTGTGCTGTCTGGGAAAAGACGAATTTTTTGAAATAGTACTTATTTAAGTATGCACCAATATTTCCAAAATCAACTCCAGTATGATTCATTCAATAAATGTAAATATGAATGGACAAAACATCTTTATATTGACATAATTGTACCTTACAATTTAGCCATAATAAAGGGATTTCGCCCATTTTGATATGACGCGGATTTATTATATTTTTTAAATATAATTTTTAAATAAAATATACAAAATCTCCAGTTCATTGTTTATTAAATTTATTTAAAAGAAGAAAACATATATTTCACAAAATACAATATCTACAAATGAAAAATAAAATGTCAAAAATGATTAAATCATTATACTTTATATTTA